GCTCTCTCCCTGGCCCCACCCACCCTGCACGCTCTCTCCCTGGCCCCACCCACCCTGCACACTCTCTCCAGCCTCCATTCATCCCACAAGCTCTCTCCATCCTTGTCCCCTGTCCTCCAGCCAGGCTTGCCACTCACCTCTCCAGAGAAGCACACTGGTTTGCTCGTTGATGACAGAAAGCTGTCGTGTGCGTGTCTGCACAGGAACAAGCTGTTGTTTGTAAGTAGAATGTTCCAGGCTTAGGTCCTGCTTCAGGAATATGAGCATCCAGGGGCTCTGGCTGACGCAGACACGCACACACACCCTTTCATTCCGCTCCAGTATGGCTGCCGGTGCAGGGAGACCTTCCTAATGAAAGGTGCCTATGACAGCTTTGATTTCCTTCTTTACTCAGCCGAAAGCCACCCCCTAACCAGTCATGGGACAGAGCAATAAGACAGGCCCTTTCATGATTGGCCATTAGTGTTAAAAGGCTACCCCCAGAGCCAGAGAACCACTACGGTCACAGAAGCCAAGGCTGTGGGAAGGCGGAGGGCAGGGATGGGACAAGGATATACGGGGCAGATGTCTGAAGTATTCAGGAAAGAGTTGCAGCACAGACAAGAGCCTCAGGAGCCAAAAATCACAGCTCATAGCCTGGTCTCCTCACTCTCAATCCCCTGGGGCCTCTGGGGCCTTTGCAAGCTGCACTGGGCTACAGAGAGGGAAACATGACAACCGAGAGCTGGATATCAACGGCACACCCCAGCGGGGATGGCTGCAATGGATATTTGGCCTGAGGAACACAGGCCTGCAGCCTCTGAGTCTCTGAGCTGTGCGGCTGAGGACTCTAAGTTCTGGTTTCTGAGGTCAGGTGAGGGAGGAAGTCTGAGACCCGAACGGACCCTGTGGGGACACAACCTGACCAGAGTATGAAGCCCAAAGGAAGGCAACAGAGATGAGGGGGAGCTTGGGGATGAAGGAAAGCCAAGAGCAAAGGAAACCGAGATGGTGGGCGAAGAAGTCAAGGCCAGAGGTTGGTTGTACAAGTCCTAGCCATTAGCCAACTTACCCGCAAAAGTGTTCCCCGGAACCTGGGCCATGGGGCTCGCTGTGGACCGGGATCCTGTGCCATGGCACAGTCTTCTGGGTCACAGTGGTGCGCTGCCATCTCGAGAGCATGTTGCCTTGGGGCATCCCATTGTCAACAAAAGCTAAGTGCCCGGTGGCTGGTTCTCCCAGTCGTCTTCCTTCTCCACCCAGCTAAAAGTTTTAGGCGATCTCAGAGCCGGCCTGAGGTCCACAGCTAAGCGGGCCCAGTGTCTGTGGGGAGCAAACTACAGCTTCCAAGCTTGCCCAAGCAGAGGCCTCGCTGCCCAGCGTCGTTTCCCCCTCTGCAATTAATTTCTCATAAATGCGCTGATAAAGCGCTGCGTGGCTAATGGAGGCTGGAGGTGAAGGGCAAAGCCATCTCTCAGGAGAGGAAATTAACGAGGCGCCATTAAAAGCAAGAAGTGATTGAGTCAGCCGTCCTCGGCTCTCCAGCCCATGCGCCTCTGCCTCAGGGTGATGAGAGAACTTGGCCTTTGGATGGGGGATGGGCCATTCACTCACCCTGAGTACTGGAAGGGACCGTCGTCACCTGTGCTTTCGGTGGAGACAGCTAACACTGGAAGCTGAGAGCAGGGAAGGGGACTGGGGAGCTCATCCTGGGAGGACCCTGTTGCTTTGGGGAAATGGATACAGTCCAGTATCCTAGAGGTCATAGGACACAGCATTTAGGAATGGCTGTATCCAGGCACTCAAGCTGTATGTTCAGCCTTCGTCCTCAACAGTTTGCCTTCCGTGTGACTGCCAGCCATGTATGGCAGTGCTCCACCTGTTAGCAGTGACTTCAAGTAGAAAAATAGCAGGAAAATGTCTTATAGAGAATTCTGATTGGCTGGGAACAAGTCACATGCCAATTCTTGTACCAATCATGATTCCTGTGGTGCCAAATTCACTCCCTGGTGGTAGTGAGGGGTGAGCTTTCCTTGTGAAGTGTATGAAAAGAAAAAGAAGGAAAAGAGGGAAGCAATTTTAGGCTGACAGAAACCAGGGTCCATTCCAGGTACAGCTGCAGATGTTTCTAGAAGCCCTCAGAATACAGAAAAGGTTTCTTAAAGGGGAAAACATCTTTACTCAAAACCAGTGGGCATGTGAGGCTCTCTGAGCAGTGGCAAAGACTCAGGCTCAGCTAAGGCTTTCCCACAGGTTCAGGCTTCAGGCTAGCTGCTCTGAGGGTCAGCACTGAGACAGCAGGGGGCAAAGATGGGAGCCTGCATGTCACAGTGCAGAAGAGGGAACATTTTCAGTGTGACATAAGGGCTGGAAGCAATGATTCACAAAGGGTTTGTCAGACAGTATCCTGGATACTTGAGCCGGTGTCTCCATAAAGCCTAGATTCACCTTTGGAAAGAGAGTCTCAGTGAGATTTATCCAGATCAGGTTGACCTGGGAGCTTGTCTGTAGTGTCTTGATTGAGTTAATAGAAATCCCAGCCCACTATGGGCAGCACCATTCCCTAAGCACGGCAAGTTGAACTATGTAAAAGTAGAGAAATCTAACTGAGCACAAGCAAGCAAGCAAGCAAGCAAGCAAGCAAACAAATATGCTTTCACTCCTCTCTGCTCTTGGCTGTGGATGTGATGTCACCAGTTACTTCCAGTCTCTGCCTTGACTTTCCCACAAAGATGGACTACAATCTGGAATGGTAAGATGAATAAATCCTCCTTCCTCCTAAATTGTTTTCAGGATAATTTGTCATGGAACAGAAATAAAACTAGATAAGCTGGTAAATTTTCCTTGTAAGATGGATATCAATGGGTGTGCTTGTGAGTGCAGTGCACATGCACATGTAAAAAGTTTCTAGGGGCTTGAGTTTCTAGGTCTCTTAATCACAAAGTGTGGAAAGATGGAAACTGTGAATTATATTTTCAAAGTTATTTTATTTCTCTAATTGGGAAACGATGAATTTCTAGAGGGAAATACTCTACCCTCTGATTGGCTCAAGTATCAGCATATGACCCATGCTTAACCAATCAGAACTCTTGAAGGGACATTTTAAAACAGTGTTCTACTTAGAGAACTCTCACTGTTCTTCAGCTTTTCAGGGCAGCTCAGCTCTGAGTTGGGTAAACCACAAAACCAGAGATGAGGAAGAGTTGGAGGAAGGAGAGATGGCTTGGTGATTAAGAGTGCTTGTTGCTCCTGTAAAGAACTGGAATCTACTACCCAGCACCCACATGTCTTCTAAGAACCATCCGTAACACCCATGCCAAGGAATCTTCTGACTTCTGACTTCTGCAGGCACCAGGCACACACATGATGCACAGACATACATGCAGCCAAAGCACCAATACACATAGACCAAAATGATTGTCATTTAAAAAAGTCTTTAGACAAACAAAAATGGCCAGGCATGAGAAAGTTCTGGAATTCAAATGGTGTGGGATGGCTCCACAGACACATGGTGCCACACGCTTCCCT